ATTGCTTCCATCTTTCTCTATCTTGCGCCAATCTAATCCACTGTTTGCCTGCCACTGCTCTTATGTCATCTACCCATCTTTTTTGAGGTCTTCCCATGCTTCTTGTTGTCGTCCTTGGTCTCCATTCTAGAATTCTCCGTGTCCACCTGTTGTCATTATATCGGGCTACGTGACCTGCCCAGCGCCATTTCATTTTTGTTATTTCTTCCACAATATCCCTAATCTTCGTTCTAAGTCTTATCTCGGTGTTTTTAATCTTGTCTCTTAGTGATATTCCAAGCATATTTCGTTCCATTGCTCTTTGCGTTGTTTCTAATTTTTTGGCAGATTTTTTGGTAAGTGCTACTGTCTCCAAGCCGTAGGTACAGACAGGTAGTATGTTATACACCTTTTTTTTAAGTTTATAGGAATGGATGTATTTTTCAAGATATGTGCTAGTTTGCCGAAAGCGCCCCAAGCCAGTTGTGTTCTTCTTTTAATTTCAGCATCTTAAGTTGGTTTTCCTAGTTTGATAACATGTCCTAGATATACATAGTGTTCCACATTTTTTATGGTATGATTATAACAATATTTTTGTTTTGCTGTAATTCATTTTTAAGCCTACTGCTCGTGAAACTGCATTTAATTGTTGTAACATATCATTTAGTTCTTGGATATTATCGGCAATTAAAACTATGTCATCTGCGAATCTCAAGTGGTTTAAGTATGATCCGTCGACGTTGATACCATTATTGTTCCATTCCAGTTTCTTAAAAATATCTTCTAGAGCAAGGGTAAATAGTTTGGGAGAGATGGTGTCTCCTTGTCTTACTCCCCGTTGTAGTCTTATGGGATTAGTTTTTGTGCTTTCGTCCAGCTTTATATGCATGGTGGCATTTTCATATATGTTTTTAATTATGTTAATGTATCTTGAATCTATGCGTGCATTTTCTAAAGATTCAAGCACTGCCCATAATTCGATGGAATCGAATGCTTTATGGAAATCGACGAACGTCATATGAATTGGAACATTATACTCGGTGCATTTTTCTATCAGTGTTCTTACGGTGTACAAGTGGTCTATGGTGTTAAAATGTTTTCTGAATCCAGCCTGCTCGATAGGTTGATAGAAATCGAGCTTATGTGTTAGGCTTATGTGTTATGCGTTAAGTATTCCATACTTAACGGCATCGACAGGTTTTTCAAACGAATAAAAAATTACAACGGTATATCACCACACTTATTTTTATAAATTTACTAAAGATGCTATTTAAAAAAGTACTTCATGATAAAACTAAAAGTAACTGTGACAAAAATTTCAATCGAGAAAGTAAACAAGAATATTTGTAATCAAATATGAAAAATATGAATACAGTATCTGGTCTACATTGAAAGAATATTCACTTGGTATTCTGTAGAGCGACCGGTCAATATAAGCTATATCTCTCGATGACAATAAAACAAAGTGAAGGTGTCACTTTAAGAAATGTTATCCATTTCTTTCACTTCTAGACTTTTTGTTTCATATTAAAAGTCGGGCTCGTATTGAATCGAAATCGAAATATAGCTGACATTTGTCTAGCGTCGCGTTACACCTGACACTTCATAGTTACATTGTGCCGTCAACTGAATCGACCTTATCGAGTCCTTCATGTTTAAGAATATTTATTGCAAAATCGACAAGGAGACAGTGCTAGAGCAGCTGCAAGTCTATTTTAGCATGCCGATGTTTCTATTCATAAATATGATCAATCGATAAGGGATTGCGTTCACTGTTAATATTCTCATTCATAAAATGAAATACTTTATAACTTCTTTCTTTTTAAGTGACACGATTAATGTCATAGTATTAACTAAATAATATCAATATGATGTATAAACACAATTGTTTGGTTTTCATGGTAAACTGTTAGATTTAGTTCTAGATAAAATGGATTTTAATGTTTCGGTGTTTTTGTAATATCGTATTTGTGGCTTGACACTTAACACTTAAAACTTCAATCTCATGGACCACCTGAATTGTACAAGTAGGTACGTGTATTCAGACGCATAAAAAGTCGACTGACTTGTTTAAAACGCATGTAGCTATTGATGTTATCACGGGTTAAGTTTAAAAAGAGAATTTCAAAAATTAATTAATACTTATGAAAAAGTTGATCGATATTTTTATTTGGACACTTTTGAAAAACAACAAATTTATTTTTGATGGTAAATAGAGAATCAAAATAGACAAAACGAAATCGCAAACCAACCGCCGAAAAATACAAATAATTCATTTCATTACGTATAAAAGCTCTTATCATTATAGTCATCATGTTTATCATCATCAGATTTATTCTGTCAAATTACCAAATCTTGCAAGGGGTTTATGGTCTATACCTGCCACCACCGAGGGATGCTAGTGATGAGGTTACCAATCTACTGGGATCTAATTTAAAATCCCAAGTTTTATAGCTGTAATGAGTTTGTTTTATGTACGAGGTTACTTATGCTAATTTGTGATGAGTTTACGTGTAACCGATAGGTGTAGGTGATTTCAATACGGTCGTTGAAATCACTTATGATGACCATATATTCACACTGTGGGATGCGATGGTTCAAAGGTAGAGATGAAATATACAAGTATAAAATGTATATGTTATGGACAAAGTAATTATGTTAGCCATTATGTATAATGCCCGGTCATTATTAATAATGACTAACTTCAGCGGGCAATTTGATACCTTTTTACAATTTATCATATTGTCTGGTCATTATGAAAAATGCTATACTATGGCCGGGCAATGTGATAAATCGGCGTTCTTAGTGAATCATGCGATCTTCAGCAGCGAATCAACGCGCTGTATCGAAGGTTACAGTCACCGAAGCGCGTCGGCCATTATTTATAAATCATATTGCAGTTGAATGTTAGTAATGGTATATACGACAAGTGGTTTGTTTGTGACATTTCTTTGTTAATTCTTTGTTTATAAAGTATTGCATAGTGAACTATGGAAAAAGAAGAACCATTAAGTGATATGAAAAATCGATTTAACAATCGGTTAAATGAATTAATTTCAGCAAAAAGTCAAAAGTCACAAATTTTCACAAAAACAGCCTACATGGAAATGATACAGAAGGTAAAAATCTCTAAAAGTAAACAGACAAATAAAACGCCGAGTGATTATCAGCGCTTACGAAGATTCGACGTTATGACGATTAGAGAAGTAGAAAAATTGATTGTTCCTGTGAAAGAAGATAACGTAATTAAATACTACGTCCATACAGAAGAAATATTTGATACATTGTGCGATCTTCATATTACTATCATGGTGGTAGAAACCGAATGGAGAAGGAAGTACATTCTAAATTTAAAAATATTACAAGGGAGATGATTGTTGTCTATTTAAATTTATGCATGACCTGTCAGAAAAAACATAATGTTCCAAAGAAAGGCTTGGTGGTGAAACCAATATTGAGCAAGGAAATGAATTAAGGATGCCAAGTCGATTTAATCGATATGCAGTCACAAGCCGATGGCTGTTATAAATTTGTGCTTGTTTATCAAGACCATCTTACCAAATTTGTCCAACTTCGACCTCTTACAAGTAAAAGAGCAGAAGAAGTATTGCATGTACTTTTGGATATTTTCACAGTATTTGGGGCGCCGGGTGTGCTTCGTAGTGATAATGGCAGAGAATTCGCTCACCATATTATCAAAGAGCTGTGTAGCATGTGGCCCGAGTTAAAAATGGTACATGGCAAACCCAGGCATTCTCAGAGTCAAGGATCTATAGAAAGGGCCAATCAAGACGTAGAGAATATGCTTAGTTCGTGGTTAGAAGACAACAATACAAACAAATGGTCTGAAGGCTTACGTTTTGTTCAACTAATGAAAAATAGAGCTCATCACACTGGTATAGGTTGTAGTCCATATGAAGCCATGTTCGGCACAAAGTTGAAAGTTGATTTAAAAAGCTCTCTACCCCAAGAAGTTCTGACTGATGGTAATTCGGAGGAAGACTTAGAGGTCCTGTTCAAAAATCAAGGGGCTGGGCTATCTACAGAACCGGATATAATACTAAATAATAATATAAATGTGGACTCTTCAATAATGTTGCCCGAATCAAGTTCCATATCATCTGGCTACACCCTGGACGTTCAAAAAATTGGAGCAATCTTAATTGATAAAAATTCATCTCGTGAATCTAGTCAAGTTCCAGCATTTTTAACAAATGCGGTAGAAACGGCTATTGTAGTTAATGTAGAAAATAATGAAAATCTGGATTCCAATATAGATATTAGAATAAACGATGTAAGGAAGAAAAAAAAATTTGTTAAAATCCTTTATAAAAGGTATATAAAATTGCCTCAAACGGGCTATCACATTTACCCATATATTTTGGTGGCTACTAGCATGTACAACCGTTTGCACTGATGATGGATTGTTTAATCCGAAAACGTTTTGCAATGTGTTTGTGATAGCCCATTTGAGGCAATTTTATATACCTTTTACAAAGGATTTTAACAAATTTTTTTGTGATATATGGTATACAGCCAGCTACAGGAACTTAGTTTCCTCGTGGAATTTTAAGGAAGAAAAGAAAATTGGCTTTGATGAATCTAGAACAACAAGTTACAAACTAAACTAGGTAACACAGTTAGGATACGAGTGCCAGATGTGGACCGAGCTCGTAGTGATCAAAGAAATCTACTAGCTATCGTGACAGAGATAACCGAAAAAAAGCTTTACAAACTAGGCACAAAATATGGCATACTAAATCTGTTATATTCAAGAAACCAGTTTACCGATTGTAAAGAAAAGTTTATCTCCATAGTCGAGATTCCAGACACTGAGATATCTCTTAGAGAATGCGCAAGAAAATCTTCCAACTGTGGGGGACAAGGATACAGTAGGTGCGGTTGTAAAGGTGGGTGTAGAATCCTTCTGAGCGATTCATACAAGAGGTAACGAAATTTCTTCGCATTGCAACGGATGGTCAACATCGGCGATGGGACAGAAAATTGGGAGAAATAGAGAGATGTACCTAAATTCCATGCCAAGTACAGTAACGAAAGAAACACCAGAATACCTCATGAAAGGCGTCATGCCGATAAGACCGTGGGAAGATCCAGAACAAAGAGAGTATCGACAGGTTATAGAAACGGTTCAGAGGAGAATAAGAAGAAGCAATGAGAAATACATCCAGAGACAGGGTCATAATAGGAAACGAAGACCAGTAATTTTCCAAAAGGGTGACAAAGTAATGGTAAGAGCATTAAGAGTGTCAAATCTTCAGAGCGGTGTTTGCGCAAAATTGATGCCTGTTTTCGAAGGGCCATACATAGTAAACAACGAAGATGGAGTAAACAGCTACGAGTTGAAACATATGGATTCTGAAAAGATCAGAGGTATTTATAATATCCATGATGTATATAAATATCACGAATGAAGATTTAAATTTGTATAAAGTAGATAGTAGGATAGGATAATACGTAGTATAAGTACAGCTAGCATACTGGAAGTGCGTTTTAGTTTGCCTCGAGAAAATTTAGTTGCATAGATGGATAAATTTTATTGATTACAAAGGCGGGGATTTGTTGTACTTTTTAATGTCCATAAGCAATAAAAAACCGATATACAAATTTTATTACTTAAATAAAAATTAAAATTATTGATATTTCATAAAGACACGGGCATATAAATTTTCAAACATCCTGTATAAGACAAAATATGTATTTTAAGTTGTTCGAAGAATTGTTCATTAGGCCTCAGAGACAAGACTTTCAAATATTATCGATAAGAAATTTAAATAAGTCGGTTATTGTGGAATGGATTTACCCGGAATAAAAGTGTATATAGAAAGTGTTTAAACAATAGATCGGGATGTGCGGTGGTTTTTCTCCCCGAAAGATTATATCGGTAAAAGTTTATTAACAAAAGACATTGAATTGAGAAACAGGTATCGTTTGTAGCTATTAGTTAGAAATATTTGTAAAGCAGATAGATTTAGTTAGAATAATTAAAGAATGTTGTTTTCTGGAATTACCCAAATGACGTTTTATAGAGAGAGTTGATTGGTAACGATATACGTCACAGAGGTGGATGATTTTTTTTTGTCAATTTTTGAATGCAAGGAGGTGGTGGTTTTGGCTATGAGATAGGAGAGAGAAAAAAAGTTAGTTAGTCAGTTTCCGTCGTCCAAGAAGGAAGGCGCTTTGTGATTTGTGTTTGTTTGAAGTCCCGAAGACGTAATTTACCGGGTGTGTTTATTTGCTGTGTAAAAGCTGACCAGTGTGAGGAACGGGGTACAGAGAGATAGAAAAACCAAAGGGTATAAGAATATTAATATCATACGAAGCCGGAAACATTTGAAGTTATAAACAGGCGCGGAGATTGGCTCAAAAGGAGGCTGCATAGAATAACACGAGTTGTTGGGTTGCAGATACAAGGACAGATAGGAGAAAGGTGTACGTCATCTGGACCACAATAGGAGCAGAAGCAGAAAAAGGTTTTTTTTTATTGGCGTGGCCATAGAATTGCACCGGCAGAGAAAGAAAGGTCAGTCAATTTTCATTAGAGCAGGAGTGTGGTTTTCATTCATTAATTAAATAAATTGAATAAATAATAGAGACAGTTAATTTTGCGATCATTAAAAAAAAATTATAAAAAGAGCTTAGTTATAACACATATTAAAAATCAATGTAAAATAACATTTGGGTCCATGATAGAAAACAACTTCTCATATATTTAAAGTTAGTATATTGCAAATATTACAGGATTGATTGTTATATAAAATTTCATTAAAATAAAGGACATCTCACATATAGTTCAGTTGAAATTCTATGTATTTTATTCAGGTCATATTACCTATTCCAATTAGGAAGCCAATTGGAAAATATTTTGAATCCACGATCAAAGGTAAATAGTACAAGTTAAATAGCCTGAGATTGTAATTAATTAATGCTGATTTATTGTGATTAATTGGAGATTAGATCATTTAATAAATATAGAGAGGATTTTTTCTAAATAAGCAATATAATACAATTTAAATAGCATAACAAAATGGCGATATAAATCCGATCGGATTATAAATCCGATAAGTGTAAGTGTCGTAAAGAAAAAAAAAATGTGTAACTCCAAGTGTCACTATAGTGGAACATGTTTCAACAAATATTTATGTATTGTAAATCATTCATACAAAATAAATTTCGATGATGTAGCACGCAAAGGTGGTAAGTGTATTTTTATTTAAAATTGAGTTTGATTTAGAAGAAAAACGATTTAATTTCTCACTGGCCGCTTTATGTGTTACCATCGATTTCGGTCATTAGAAAAAAAATGCAAATAAAAACACAGAATTCTTTTTTTGGTTTCCTCAATTACCGTTAATACGTATTATATTTTTTATGTATACTTATTCATTAAATGTACTCATGTGCCATTTCACAGAAGACTGCAAGACTGTTTTCATTAGTATATAAGAAATATTTTAGTTTTTACGACATACTTGATTGTATCAAAATAAATATATTTCATATTTAATAAAAATAAAAGTAGTTTTAATCATCCTGTCTAGTAGATGCCAAGCATTATACATAATGCCCGGGCAATGTGATGAATTTAATAGTATTTAATATTCCACGAGGAAACTAAGTTCCTGTAGCTGGCTGTATACCATATATCACAAAAAAATTTTTTTAAAATCCTTTATAGAAGGTATATAAAAATGCCTCAAACGGGTTATCACAAACACATTGCAAAACGTTTTCGGATTAAACAATCCATCATCAGTGCAAACGGTTGTACATGCTAGTAGCCACCAAAATATATGGGTAAAAACCCTTTAAATGTTATAAATTTGAATTTGTTTTACATTATTAGTATTTTTAATTTGTGATGGTTAAGTTACCGTTGGATAGGTAACATGGCGGCGTATGACTCTACATAAGTAAAATAGTCCTGAGACGAAGTGTCTACGAGGACCTGTTGATAACAACTGATCAAAATGACATTGTTGACAAGTTAGGACGGATGTTGTGTCAGAGCAGTCAGTGTAACTTACGGTAGTTGTCTAAAATTGACAGATGTCAGCCTTATTTAAAATTGAAAAGGTTAAAATTATAATAATGTAACAGTATCAACCATCAATATTGTAATCTGTATTGTAAATTAATCAAATAGGTATATTTGTAACAATGAAAATTGGTTTTTTTAAAAATTAATGTAGGTCAACTAGAATTTATGAAGTTATGTAGGATTGATAGGCAACCAACTATACATGTGTAAGGATATATTTATTCTAAGCTATAGATTTTGTCAAAAGGCCCTGTATGTTGTGAGACATTTGGTACCTAGAAAATGGTAAAAAGGTACATGTGGGAAGATGGGTCCTAAAAGATATATTATTGAGTATTGGTGTAATGAGTGGAGGTATGTTTAGATATGTTATTAAGCTGAAATGTAAATATGACAAGAATGTGATCATAATGTGGTGTTCATGTAGTACTCAACTTAAAACTTAAGTATGGAAGGCCCCTTTATGTCAAAAAACTACATTTGGTACCTAGTAAAGATAAATGAAATTAGATTTTTAAGTTATAAGTAAGTGAACATGAATTACTGGTTATGTGTGTAAAGTAAAGATGGTAGGTTGTTTATGTGTGTGGGCAAGTATGCCAGACTGAAAGAAAATTGATGGCTGAAAGATGGTTAGGTGTGATATTGTTCCTACATTGCTCGAGTTATAACTCAAGAAAACAGAAGGCCCTATATGTTAAAAGGAACAAAAGGTACAAAAGCAACAATTTAGGTACCAAATGTTACCAAATGTTATCAACAGGTCCTCGTAGACACTTCGTCTCAGGACTATTTTACTCATGTAGAGTCATACGCCGCCATGTTACCTATCCAACGGTAACTTAACCATCACAAATTAAAAATACTAATAATGTAAAACAAATTCAAATTTATAACATTTAAAGGGTTTTTACCCATATATTTTGGTGGCTACTAGCATGTACAACCGTAAGTATTAACCACATTTTGCTCTAACCTTTGTCAACATTTTCATTTCACGTTCTTTTTAATAAAAGTGGTTATATACTTTCAGGTTTGCACTGATGATGGATTGTTTAATCCGAAAACGTTTTGCAATGTGTTTGTGATAGCCCGTTTGAGGCATTTTTATATACCTTTTATAAAGGATTTTAAAAAAATTTAATAGTATTTATTATATTGACCGACAGTATTGGGCATTTTTTATATAGCCCGGGCATTATGAAAAATGACCAATTAATCATATGGTCCATAACATATACAGCTAACTTTTATGCCAGGGATGCAAAAATATAAAGTGTAATAATCGTACTTGTTTAAGTTTGTTGCCTTGTAAATTTACTGTTTCATACCCCTCTTACATAATCTTTTGTGCAAAAAAAAATTCAATTTCTGGCAAATGCAAGATGGAAATATTCCGGGAAAAGTTAGAACTTATCGTCTGAAAAGTTGAAATAGTTGAAATTAATTTTAATTTTCTCATTGTTCGTCGTCATATCAAAGAGAGTTCGGCGTCGAATTTAGAAATCCTGCATGGAAGAACGTCCTGCTGCATTCCTGCAGGTCGCTTAGCATATTCATCGCGAACAATGAGATGAAACTCTACTCGAAGCGTAAATTTTCCTCAACTATTCGTGGCAGCCGCGTTATTATTCTCTGGCGCATAAAATAAAAGAATTCAAATTATATGTATGCGATTTTTTCGTCACCAGCCAGGTTGGTATTTCATGTTTATATTCAGAGTGTCGCGTATAAATATCAACCTTTTTCACAAACAACCGACCGTTTGTGTTGAGATATGCAAGTATGTAACTTTATTACCACAATTAGAGAAGTTCGCTACCAGAGGTGGAGTCAGAAGGGAAGGACAATGTGGTTTAAATCTGCCAATGTTTTAAATGCGATTCTTTAAAGAGAAGATATATCTTCCAACTCGGAAAAATGTTTAGTTCTCATACAGCAAATATATTGAAATTAAAGTGTACTTAAAACTAATTTGATTGAACCGATTGTTCGAACGCTAATCAAAACTTGATTGTTATCAAAATATTTAATTTTAATCAAATACGTCACAGCTGCTGTATAAATTATTAAACATTTTTTATTATTATTGTTGATTTGTAAAGAAAGAATAAAATTAAATAAAATAAATCAGTCAACATAATCGTATAACAAAATGTAACGTATTTAAAAAATTTAATTAAAAATCCTTTGTAAAAGGTATATATTTAAGGCCCAAACGGGCTAAGTTAAAGAGACATAACGTTTTCGGAATCCATGTTCCATCATCAGTGTCCTAGAAAATAGTTAACCACTTAATTAAAAAGAACATAGGTTAAAATTTTGACTAAGG